TGCGTTCATGTCTTTAGTGGATTGACTGCATGATGTACTGGATGAGATTAGGAATATGGACTGGGGATAGAAGACATGGATTAAGAATATTCCATATATTCCATGTCGCCATAGCAATTGTGACTCTGTTTGGTTATGAAAACGTTCGTACAGTTTGCTTAAAACGAGTCTGAAGGTGTATTTCTGGAATTAATATAACAATTAATTGAATTAATGAGCAAATGAAAAATTCATTTAGCTCACTCATTAAATCACTTCATAATTGAGTTATAAGCCAGCTGATTAGTTTTGGTCTCGTAGATTTGTCGTTAATATCTTATTATATTATATTGTAGTTAATTAAATGAACTGCAATAACGGTATTCGTTTTCCTTGTCAGTGTTTTCTTGTATTTGAATTTTTAAATTGTTTTAATAGAGTCTATGAATAAGTTGTCAACAAGCTTGAGAATGTATGATCGTTGGCACGTACGGCGAATGTGTTAAACAATGTACGAATATGACTTGACGAATGTTTTTATCGGATGTGTATTGATGTGATATTGTTGAATAATCGAATGTTATCCATCGTATTTTATCGAATGGAAACGGAAATTTCAAGTAAAATTTCAACAAATGATAATAATCATAATCATAATAATAATAAATTTTGAAGTGAACGTGAGCGTTAATGGCCGATGACGGCGATGGCGATGCTCTGAGTGCTGCACCGACAACCACAAATTTATTATCGAGTTTAACGTTGCCTCGACAAAACACGGCGACCACTCGTTCGAGACGGCGTACAACAGCAACCACCACGCATGGAATGGGTTCGTTCAAGCTCTTAGATTANTTTGTTCAGCACAATCAATCAGCCGAATGATCGATCCATAATTGATTCGATTGATCTCTTTTATGTCCCCTCCAACGCGATCGTTCATCCTAAATTATATCCCTTATCGATCGTTGTTGGGTCATAGTGTTTATATGGATTCTTAAACGTTCGTTGATTCGTTGAAATAGTGCCATGCGGACACATTTATTTTTCTCATCAGCCATCTGTTAATAACAAGAGATTTGTTGCCATCGAATGCAATCTGAATGTAAATCGCGCGATTTGATAGTAGATCATATCCGTCTTCCTAATTCATCGTGTGTTATGATGTGTTGACAATTCAAGTGATCGCGCATAGAACACAATGGGCAGTGCGCATAGAAATGTTGTGAACAAGGTTTGCAACAATTCAAAGTGACAGCAGATGTGAATTTGAGGTCATGCGATTGCATTGAATATCGATTCGTTTCTGATTGTTCACTTCAAAAATGTGAGAATCCCCATCTTTAATTTCGTTTCATCATCAATTCCATGCATCCATATCTTTAATGCAAAGCAATGAATAATTTTGTGTTTCACGATTTTATTGCTTTCATGATTCCATCTGTCATTGACAATTTGATTTCGTTTCGAAGCACATGTTGAAAACTGAAAAATTCGATAAAAAGCGAAAGAACTAGCGAAGAATTGCTCTTCAAAACTTTC